AGAATAGAATGGAAAGAGATATAAGTAGGAAATTGGAGAGGAAAGAAATAGAAAGAAGAAAAAGAAGAGAAAGAAAGAGGAAGAGGAGAAAAAGAGGAAAACTTGGAAATCATCAAGATCAAGCATCTAGGAGTCAATTTAATCAGGTAAGGGTGTGAAATCTTATTATCTTATCAATGTCTATGATTATGTATGTGTGTGTTTGGATTTATTGGAGAGTTTTTACTTATTTTTCCTTTTTAGGGCAGAAGTTGGTTTAATCGGTAAGAATCGATGTTTGAACGGTTAGAATCCGGAATAAATGGAGTATTTTAGTCGGGTAATGTTGGGCTAAAACTACTGGAACTGGTTGGGATTGAATTAGTTGATTTTGTGATGATTGGGTGATTTTGGAATGTTTGGGGTTCTGTGTTCGCAGATTCGCTAGGCGAGTAGAAGAGAAGGTTCGCCAGGCGAAGCCCAACGAGTGGGTAGCGAACCATTACAGTAGCCAAGATCAGCCTTCGCTGGCATGTTCGCCAGGCGAAGGAGGTGGCGAGAGGGTTCGCCAGGCGAAACCCAGCGAATGAGGTAGCGAATACTTCCAGTAGCTACTGCCTGTCTTCGCCAGCAAGTTCGCCAGGCGAGTGAAGCAGCGAGCATTCGCTAAATGCTTCGTCAGGCGAAGGTCAGCGAGTGTGACAACATCTTTTTCATTTCTTGTGTTTTCCATCCAATGTTGATTGTTTGGTTCGATTGTGTTTAATCCTTATCTGAAATGTATAGTTTGTGTACTATTGTGATAAGATGTGTTGCGGGTAGCCGTATGGCGTGAATCCTAGATTGTGAATTGTGAAGTGTGAAATATGGTCGTTTGGCATGATATTGTGAATGCATATTGATTGTATGCGATAGAATGTGATAAATGATGAATACAATATGAATATGCATTGTGAATGTATGATGATTGTATGAGATTAGATGAGATGAGAATGCATGAAAACATTATGAATATGTATGCATTTCAAGAATTATATGGAGTCATTTTGCATGTGAAGCATCATGATATACATTCTTGTGCTGATTGATTCCTCGGTGAATCTGCTAAACGATTGTGTGCTCTTGTGGGGTGTGAGAAATTCTTAAACATTGTGTGCCCATGTGGGGTGTGAGCAATGGGTAAATTGATTCCACGTAGAATCTGCTGAACGATTGTATGCCCATGTGGGGTGTGAGCAAACGGATTGTGTGCCCGTGTGGGGTGTGAGCAATCCTGAAACATCGTGTGCCCATATGGGGTGTGAGCGATGGGTGAACATCGTAGGCCCGACGGGGAGTTACTTCGGTAACGAGCGATGGTTCCATTTAGTTCTTCAATTGAACCTGCTGAATGAGTCGGTACCGCATGTGCATCTGCATAGAGTCGTAAGTTGGTCTCTATGAGTTGCATTTATCATCATGAATTGTGTATTGGTGAATAAACATAATTGTAAATGTTTATGTGAAAATGATGTGAATTGTGATGATTGTGGTGAGAAATGTGGAATATGTGTATTCTATGCTTGTGTGTGTGTGTGTGTGTGTGTGTATATATGCATTGATTATTATGATAATATTTCTCACTCTTCTGCTGTTTTATGAGGCATTGCAGAGTAGGATTGCTGGAGGTCTTTTTGTGAAGCGTGGCTTCATTCTTTTTGGTCGGTTGGCTCTGATATGTAGCACCGGGTAGCTAGGATTGTATAGAATTCTTTTGTGATACATTTGTATATATATCTGCTGATATATGTTTATGAAAACACGTTGAATGATGATGTGAATCAAAATGAATGATATGTATATATGATCATATGTTTTGATGTTATTCAATGTTTAGATTTTCCGCTTTTATTCTAAATATTGAGATGTGGGTGTAAGGACTAAGTTCCTCTGTTGAAAGTTACCCCACTGTTGCATATCTTGTTGAGCAGGTGTTGTATGTTTTAATTTCTTGGATAATGTGACATACCTCTTTTATACCATGTTTTAAATGTACTCTGATGAAATGAATTGTTATATGTGCCTAAATGATTTATTTGATTATTTGGGGGTATAGAAAGGGGGTGTTACATAAGCTGATATGGCCATATCCTGTCTGATTGTTTCAAGCATAGCCACAGGTGCATAAACTTCATTAAAGTCTACTCCAGGTCTTTGAAGAAAGCTTTTTGCAGCCAACCATGCCTTGTACTTAGCAATTTCACCATCTAGTTTAAACTTCAATTTGTAAATCCACCTTACATTAATTACTTTCTTGTATGAGTTCTCAACCAACTTCTATGTCTGTTTTTTCTCAATGATATTGAGTTCCTCAACCATTCAACTTTCCAATTTTCATCCTACTGGGCTTGCAAATGAATAATTGGTTATGGCTCAACCATCATTGATTTTTCAATCAACTCACCATTTTACTTAATTGCTTGATCATGAAATCTCTCATTGTCATTTAACATGATTGATGGAGCTCTAGTTCTTCTTGATCTTCTCACTCCTTGAGTTTGTGCAAGGTCGGTTGGTTTATGATGTCCCTTACACAACTACTTTGGCACTTCAATCTTTAGAAGTCCATGTAATATCTTCTTCTTACGCACCATGCTAAGACTCCTAACACTAAGATGGCTAAATCTTTGATGTCAAAACCAATTTTTATCTTCAGTTGTGGTTGATGCAAGACAATGATGATCAAGCGTATTGATCATGACCTTGAATGTCCTGTTGTTTGATAAAAGTACTCTCAAAGTTGGCCTAGACATTTCAAAAAATACCTTGAGTTCCCTTCCTTCCAGCTTCATTGTGTAATTCTTGTCAAGTAATTAACCCAAAGTAATCAAGTTACTCGCCATTGAGGGAACATACAAGACATCCCTAATGGTAGCTTCATGTCCATCCTTCTTCTTCACTCTAATGTTGCCCGTTCCTTCTTATTTCACTATGTCGTTGTCTACAAAACGAATTGTTCTTCTAACTTATTCACCCAACTTGACAAACCAGTTCTTGTTGCATGTCATATGATTGCTGCAATGTGTATCAAGTTACCACACATTTGCTTTCTCTAAAGCCAAATGTGTTGAAGCCATCAAGATAGCTTATTCAGATTCACTACTACCATCATGAGCAAATTGAGCCACACTCGTATCCTCATCATTGTTCTTGTTGTAGTAGTTGTAGTCTCAAGTACAATGACCAAACTTCTGAGAACAATGACATTGGACCTCCTTCATGTCAACCTTTTTATCGACTTTTTGATTTTGATTTGCACAATTCTTGCTAGTTTCATCTTGGCTTATTGAAGCCTTACCAGCATCACCATCATCATTCATATTCTTCTTTCATTTTGCTTTCAGTTTGTTGTTGTTTGAGGAGCTTTCTTTCATCTTCTTGAATAAATTTGTTTGCAATGTCTATTCAGATACCTTTTCTGAATGTCTTTGCTTCTGCCTCGTCTCATGCGCCTCAAGAGACGCTTGCAATTCTTTAAGCTTCATCTCTGACAAGTCTTTAGATTCTTCAATTTCCACCACGATGTGATCAAATTTGTTTGGAAGAGCCCTAAACACATTCTCCAACTTCTGCAATTCAGAGGTTTTTTCTCCACTTGACTTCATTTGATTTGTCAAACCCACCATCTTTAAGAAGAGCTCAACAATGGTTTCATCATCTTTCATGTGCAAATTTTCATATTGCTTTCTCGAATGCTATGTTTGGAAGCTGCAATAGTGATCGAAGAAAAATAGTTTATTGAATATTGTGTATTTCTGAATAATGTTTCAATTATAATGAAAGTTGGTATTTATAGACACAGTAGCTACTCAAATCAAATCCAAAACAAAATTAATATGCCCGTCTGTGTATATAATATACCCCCAATATATTCTTAAAGTAATTTGTCTAATTAAAACTGTTACATACGTCAGATATATAATATACCCTGTATACTCTTAAATCAATATGAATTAATCACAATATAGCATTCCTCTATTCTTATTTATACTTGAATTGGATCAATTTAATTATTATGTAATTATGTTAATATAATAACTAGTTAAAAATAATAAAGAAAAGAGATTTATATTTTTGTTATTGCCCTTATCGTTTAGTAGACCGTAAAAAGAAAGGATTTTGTTGTCCTTATTGTTTAGTAGAGACCATAAAGAAAGGGTATCACAGCCGCGCGCGCAGTATATGTTTGAGAGACCAGTTTTGTTTGTTTGGCTTTTAGACAACGAATTCTAATTTTGAGCAGCTCAGGTTTTTCCCTTTTTTTTCCTTTTCAAATTTCACTTCATTTTCAAAAATTCTGTAAGAGTATGTTGATTATCTTCCAAATGCTGTAAGAGTATGTTGATTATCTTCCAAATGCTGTTAGAGTAGGTTGATTATCTTTCAAATGCTGTTAGAGTATGTTGATTATCTTCCAAATGCTGTTAGAGTATGTTGATTATCTTCCAAATGCTGTTAGAGTATGTTGATTATCTTCCAAATGCTGTTAGAGTAGGTTGATTATCTTTCAAATGCTGTTAGAGTATGTTGATTATCTTCCAAATGCTGTTAGAGTATGTTGATTCTGTTCCAAATGCTGTTAAGAATACCTTGATTGTGGAATTAATATTCTAATTGAACTAATTTAATTGTGGAATTGATATTCTAATTGAATTAATTTAATTGTTGATTCTAATTGGACTAATTTAATTCTAATTGCATGATTGTGGAATTAATTTTCTACTAGTTATGAATTGTTGATTTGTTGATTGAATGAATTGCTGATTGAGTTATGAATCAGTGAATTGCTGATTGGATTAATAGTTTGTGTCCTTCAGATTGCTATTTACAGGAAGGACCAAATGAATTGATTGTTGAATCGTTAATTGGATTAATAGTCCGAGTCCTTTTGTATTTATATTTACAGGACTAACCAAATGAATTGTTGATTGGATTAATAGTATGTGTAATTTCGTATTTCTATTTATTTACAGAAAGGACAGATGATTTTTTCATTAGAAGATTTGACAATCCAATTTCCATACTCCAATGTGTATCCCGAGCAGCTTAATTTCATGAAGGAAATTAAGTTGGCACTCGACACTGGTGATCACACCGTTGTTTCAACTTATAAAGATAAATGCAAAGGGTTCACAGTAGCTATGATATCTCTGCTTGTCAGTTATGTCGCTTCTAAGTTTGGTGAATCCAAACAGATACTCTGTTGCACCAAAGACGCTGGAAGGAGGGATAAGATTATGAAGACACTCACATTGGTGTACGATTATGGGTGCAATGATTTAGGTGATGACAGTCCAAGCATTCTTGCGGTCGAATTTTCCTCCCGCAAGGAATTCTGCATTAATTCTGATGTGATTGAAGAATCTCAACTATATGAGGATTCGGAAAAAGACGAGAACAAGTTGGTAGCAGGATGTAGGGAACATACTGCAAGCTGGATTAGGGAGTTTGACATAGAAGATGTTTGTTCTTTCTATAATAAAGCTGAAGGTGCTGTACTGTCTCCTGGTATTTACGACATTAAGGTAAAAAGCTAATAACTGTTTAATTAATAGCTAACCTTAGTTTTTATACTTGGACAGAAATTGTGGTATAATATTTTTGGTTCAATCGAATCTTTATTGTTGTGGTGTAGGATCTCGTTGATGCTGGCTATAAAAATGGGTGGTGTCCCTATTTCGTTACCAAGAATGCACTACAAGCTGCCAACATTGTGGTATTTGGTTATGAAAATGTTCTGGATCCCAAGATAGCTGGCGTTGTTTGTAAAGAGCTGAAGAGGAATTCCAATTCCATTGTAATTTTTGGCTGATGATGTTGCTAAGTTGTGCAGGGAGGCACTGTCAGTCATCCTATTTTCAGAAACACTTTTATATGCTGAGCGAGATGTAAATAAATTAAGTAAGGAGTTGGCGAGGTAGGAAGCAACTGCATAGTTATTTCCTTCACCCTCACTTTTCCTTTAATTCCTAATCTATGTTTTGAACTTGTTAGATTTGGAACGGACAGGGTCAGCGGCAAAGACCTACTACTTCAGGAAAACGAAAGGTTGAGGAATGGTGTGAGACATGAAATCCATCCGACTGATATCTGGCTAGCTAATCCAGCTTTGCCAGAGCACTTAATGGGAGAGCCGATGCCCAACGAAATCTGTGTCGCTGAAAAATTCCTCCACCATTTAAGCTGTCTGGTTTCCTACCTTACTGACATCCTAAAAGTAATTGATCACCACAATCATAGCCTTCCTAGCTTCCTTCAAAATTTCTATTCCTATCACAGTCACTTAAATAAACAAAATTACTTTAACTTGTTTGATGAACGACTTAACTCACTCCTCAGAACTTTAAGAATTGACCACACCGATTCATTCCTCTCCATACAAAAAGTATGCCATTTTGCCACACTCTGGGGAACCTATTTGCACTTCAATAATGAATTTAAAATTGTAACTGGACCTTCCTCTTACATTCTTGATGTTTATCCATCTTATGGAAATGTTGTGAAGGTTAGCTCTAACTTTTTCTTTAAGATATATTTATCTGTACATTTCAGCTATAGCTCTAACTTTTTCTTTAAAATATAGATTTTAACTTAGTTATTTATCTGTACTCATTTTTGTAACAATTCTGGTTTATTGACATTTCAGCTAGCTTGCACAGACCATTCTCTCGTCTTTAAATCGGTTTTAGGTCGATTTGGCTCTGTGTGCATCACCCTCAAAGAAGGACCTGCAGATTCTTTCATTGCCAAGATGAATTTTGAGGCTCTTGTCTGTCGGGGCATTAACCCATTAAGTAGGAGATCATGATCATCACAACATTATATGGTAAGTACAATTTAACTTTGCAATGTTGAATCTCTCGTGTGAATTCCATTTTTTTGTGAAATATGATAATACTTTGTTAAACAGAACTTATTATGTTTTTAGCATATGGTGTAAACTGAATCATATTTTTCAGTCTAAAATGTGCATGGATTAAGGTTGACGAATAATTGATTAATAATCATGTTTTTCATAAATGCTGTTAAACAATGTAGGTTGATGAAGTATTCGTGTTTGGCTGCAGCAAGAGATTGCGTTGTGTTAATTCAAGCATAATGCAAACTGATCTTGAACAATGTTGCTATGGTTCTGTAATTTCATTGAATAGATATTGATTTGACTATATAGTACTACTACAAAATACGGTGCTAAACCTAGGAAAATACAGTTTGTAACAAAAACAATTATGGTAATACTAAAAAATATATTTGGCGTTATATTCCAAATGTTACAATTGGTTAGAAAGAATCAATATTTTTGTCCACTTTAGATCAGCATTAATATTTATAGGATTTTTAAAATAATAATAGCATATGATATATACTGAAATCCATATTCCAAATGTTACAATTGGTTAGAAAGAATCGATATTTTTGTCCACTTTAGATCAGCATTAACATTTATAGGATTTTTAAAATAATAATAGTATGGGAATATGGATTTCAGTATATATCATATGCTATTATTATTTTAAAAATCCTATAAATGTTAATGCTGATCTAAAGTGGACAAAAATATAGATTCTTTCTAACCAAGTGTAACATTTGGAATATAACGCCAAATATATTTTTTAGTATTACCATAATTGTTTTTGTTACAAACTGTATTTTCCTAGGTTTAGCACCGTATTTTTGTAGTAGTATAGAGTCAAATCAATATCTATTCAATGAAATTACAGAACCATAGCAACATTGTTCAAGATCAGTTTGCATTATGCTTGAATTAACACAACGCAATCTCTTGCTGCAGCCAAACACGAATACTTCATCAACCTACATTGTTTAACAACATTTATGAAAACATGATTATTAACCAATTATTCGTCAACCTTAATCCATGCACATTTTAGACTGAAAAATATGATTCAGTTTACAACATATGCTAAAAACATAATAAGTTCTATTTAACAAAGTATTATCATAGTTCACAAAAAATGGAATTCACAAGAGAGATTCAACATTGCAAAGTTAAATTGTACTTACCATATAATGTTGTGATGATCATGATCTCCTACTTAATGGGTTAATGCCCCGACAGACAAGAGCCTCAAAATTCATCTTGGCAATGAAAGAATCTGCAGGTCCTTCTTTGAGGGTGATGCACACAGAGCCAAATTGACTTAAAACCGATTTAAAGACGAGAGAATGGTCTGTGCAAGCTAGCTGAAATGTCAATAAACCAGAATTGTTACAAAAATGAGTATAGATAAATAACTAAGTTAAAATCTATATTTTAAAGAAAAAGTTAGAGCTATAGCTTAAATGTACATATAAATATATTTTAAAGAAAAGTTAGAGCTAACCTTCACAACATTTCCGTAGGATGGATAAACATCAAGAATGTAAGAGGAAGGTCCAGTTACAATTTTAAATTCATTATTGAAGTGCAAATAGGTTCCCCAGAGTGTGGCAAAATGGCATACTTTTTGTATGGAGAGGAATGAATCGGTGTTGTCAATTAAGTTCTGAGGAGTGAGTTAAGTCGTTCATCAAATTTAAGTGACTGTGATAGGAATAGAAATTATGAAGGAAACTAAGAAGGCTATGATTATGGTGATCAATTACTTTTAGGATGTCAGCAAGGTAGGAAACCAGACAGGTTAAATGGTGGAGGAATTTTTCAGCGACACAGATTTCCTTGGGCATCGACTCTCCCATTAAGTGCTCTGGCAAAGCTGGATTAGCTAGCCAGATATCAGTCGGATGGATTTCATGTCTCACACCATTCCTCAACCTTTCGTTTTCCTGAAGTAGTAGGTCTTTGCCGCTGACCCTGTCCGTTCCAAATCTAACAAGTTCAAAACATAGATTAGGAATTAAAGGAAAAGTGAGGGTGAAGGAAATAACTATGCAGTTGCTTCCTACCTCGCCAACTCCTTACTTAATTTATTTACATCTCGCCAACTCCTTACCTAATTTATTTACATCTCGCTCGGCATATAAAAGTGTTTCTGAAAATAGGATGACTGACAATGCCTCCCTGCACAACTTAGCAACATCATCAGCATTGTCAAAAATTACTATGGAATTGGAATTCCTCTTCAGCTCTTTACAAACAACGCCAGCTATCTTGGGACCCAGAACATTTTCATAACCAAATACCACAATGTTGGCAGCTTGTAGTGCATTCTTGGTAACGAAATAGGGACACCACCCATTTTTATAGCCAGCATCAACGAGATCCTACACCACAACAATAAAGATTCGATTGAACCAAAAATATTATACCACAATTTCTGTCCAAGTATAAAAACTAAGGTTAGGTATTAATTAAACAGTTATTAGCTTTTTACTTAATGTCGTAAATACCAGGAGACAGTACAGCACCTTCAGCTTTATCATAGAAAGAACAAACATCTTCTATGTCAAACTCCCTAATCCAGTTTGCAGTATGTTCCCTACATCCTGCTACCAACTTGTTCTCGTCTTTTTCCGAATCCTCGTATAGTTGAGATTCTTCAATCACATCAGAATTAATGCAGAATTCCTTGCGGGAGGAAAATTCGACCGCAAGAATGCTTGAACTGTCATCACCTAAATCATTGCACCGATAATCGTACACCAATTTGAGTGTCTTCATAATCTTATCCCTCCTTTCAGCGTCTTTGGTGCAATAGACTATCTATTTGAAGAACCTGAGCTGTTGGCGCATTTTGCGTTTTGGAGAGCTGTTTTCGTTTCTTGTTTTTGAATAGACTGATTTAAACATTTAGTTAGTTGTTCCATTTTTATAACAAAAAAAATTTGAATTTGATGTCTAAAAGCCAAACAAACAAAACTGTCTCTCAAGCGTATACTGCGCGGGCGCGACTATGATACCCGTTCTTTATGGTCTTTACTAAACAATAAGGACAACAAAATCTTTTCTTTTTATGGTCTACTAAACCATAAGGGAAATAACAAAAATATAAATCTCTTTTCTTTATTATTTTTTAACTAGTTATAATATTAACATAATTAGATTATTATTAAAGTATAAGGAAGAATAGGGGAATGTTGTTTTCGCTCTCGCTAGTGTTGTGATTAATTCAAATTGTTTTAAGTGTATTTAGGGGCTTTAGTTACACAAACTACTCTAAAAATATATTAAGGGGTATATTGTATACAAGGGTGGGTGTTGTTAGATTATTTGTTTTAGATTTGTTTTTTTGGTGACTAGTATGCCTATAAATATCACATCTCATTGTAATTGAAATATTATTCAGAAATACACAAGATTCATTAAACTCTTTTTTCTCAAGCACTCTCTAATTTTCTCTAAATTTATCATCATTTGTCAAGTAACTTGTGGGACATATAACCCAACAAATTGATAATAAAAGCAATACTTTAGTCTTCAATCTCTAGCCATGGCAAATGGAAGTACTATCTTCAACCAATTCTCAGCCAATTTACCAGTTTTCAAGGGAGAAAACTATGATAGATGGTGCTCGTAGATGAAAGTCACATATAGATTTCAAGACGTGCTTGAAATCGTTAATGATGGTTTCTCGACATTAGAGGCAAATGTTGAGACACAAAGAGTTGCTCATCGTGAAATGAGCAAGAAAGATGGAAAGAACATATTCTTGATCCATCAGTGTGTGAAAACGAACATCTTTGAGAAGATTATCGAGCAAGAAACGACCAAGGAGATTTGGGATACTCTCAAGAAATTGTATGGTATAGATGAGAAGTTAAGTAAAGTGAAGGTTCAGTATTTGAGGAAGCAATATGAAAACTTGCAGATGAAAGATGATGAAACCATTGTTAAGCTCTTCTAAAAGCTGG